AGTAGTGACGCAACCACTTTTTGCCACGTTTGCGCAACAAGCAAAAAAGTTAAGCTCAGCAGGGATCCGATCCCATGACCTGTTGCGTGGTAAACGCGGCTCCATAACTCCGTTCAGAGAATCGTTCTGCAAATTTCGAAGGCAGATTCGAGATCAGCGTCCAAAACCACGTCTAGTGAGCTACATCTCATTACAAATGGCCACTTCAACCTGGCGACCTTCCCTAGTAAGTTTAGGAGGGATTCAAGAGTAACCTTCAGAACAGATCGCATGATATGACAAAGCAGATGGGTCTTTGAAAATTAATTACAGAAAGGTACGTATACTCACTCATCAATGAGATTCCTTAGTGACTTGACGAGCTTTTGTCTCACCGCATTGGGAAACTGCCCTTCGGATAAGAGATCCTTGAGTTCATAATATGGAGCTTGTATGACAAGATCTATCGTCACATCTTCCCTGAAACTATGTAGCTGTAGACGACATTGTGGTACCGGCGTCGTGAAAATGGTTCTGGAAGCAAACTGTGTGAAGCTGTGCCCAAAGAGAAAAAATGGACGCCGCTGTTCATAGCTATGGTAGCAGCCAACAAAAATCTGGGAATTGATTCGCTGTAGAATAAGGAGAAAACCACTACTTCCACCTTCAACTTCAAAACTCTTGGCTGGTTCCGATCACGCCTTCCTTCAAAGTGGCTGTGAAACGGTGGAAAACGTCAGCTGGGCAACTTGAGTGCCATGGCATTTTCAAGGCTAGATGCTTGTTGGAAAAAAGCAGTTTCCAATCACATATTCTCTCACCTGGACATCTTATCTGAGGGCCAATTGGCTATGATGGTGTAGTCAATGAAAACCAACGGTCGAAATGGCAAGCTTAGAACGATCATGATTCGCGAGTCATTATTGCACAGTCTCACTAAATCCGGTAATTTACGTTTATCAGATGGATTCCAGATATCTCAAAAAAGTGTGGAAGATGCATAGTCCACAACAGCATATGCTCGAACCTTGCTTCAATGTGAATCCTTCCCTCAGGCGAATGTACAAGATCTCATGCAGTGCACTTCGATATATTGAACGAAATATAACGATGCCTCACCACATCACTGCAAAAAATATTTCCAAAAGGCAAATCATACTCAGACGTTATTAAGCCAACTCACTTTTTGTACAACTGCGCAAATTCGGGATTGATTTCGTTTACAAGATTGGTTATGTGAACATTATCCTGGAGAGCATTTTGGAAGCACCAGCAAAGCAGAGCCCTGAACTTTGAAAACGTGATGAAGTTCATTCCCAGATAAGATCCAACATTCCTACGATTTTGGAGCGTTATACAGTATCGGCCAGCTGTGACACCTTGCACAACATCCTTCGAAGCAACTCCGCTGCTTACCTGTGAAACGGATTCAAAGGCTTGTACTCGTCCTCATCAACTTCTTCTTCATCTTCAGAGCAAACCAGTGGTTCATGGATCTCATTCATGTCCACTCCGATCGCGCAACGGCAGTTCGGAATGTACACACCAAAGGTCGCCATCGCGAGGAAATGAAACAGTTCACACGATGCCACATGACCAAAACACGCCTCATTTCGAGATCGGCCTTGTAACTGAATTCGCATAGCTTTAGCAATCAAGCCACTCGGATGAAGACAGATAGTTTAGTAGAGAGACATGCTAAGTAAGGGTCGACCCTTGTGCATTGAAATTTAGCGCTTAGTCAGGCGCCCACGAAACTGAAGACTGGTCCATAGAAGGCATGGAGGTGAAATGCCTAACAACACTTATAATAAGCTTGCTTAATAGGCCCTCCACATATAACCGCGACCCGCTGGAAAAAAGTTTAGACAGCGATCAGACTCGCGATGACGCCCGCCAACGCGCCATAGCTGAGTCTGCACCCCAAGGATAGGCGGGCCATTTCCCAAGAGATATACTGATGCCACTGTGGTTACTAACTGTGCTCACCGTTGCGCGCTCCCGCGCATGATGAAGAGCTTACCTATCCACTCGCAAAGATGTCAGTACCTTTCATTTTTGGTCCCTCGCCGTACCGTCGCTCCCACATAGCTCGGCCGGCGCCGCGTGCGCGTCTTCGGTGCGTTTCTCTTTCTCTCTCTTCCAAGCAGATCAGCTACAGCTAAGATTAACTTTTCACCTGAATAAAAGAGCATGAAACCGTGTAGCTCCGCAGCTGGCTCAAAAGCTGTTGTAGAGCATTCGCATCCGGCATGCCACACACTGCATCAGTAATAACAATGATGTCTGAAAGTCGAAGTGGAAAATACAGTTAATCAGACGCTAGAACAATGGAAAATGTTTAACAATGTCAAAAACTAACTCGATTGTGTATTCTCATGCATCATTTGTACGGCAATAAGACCTAGCCGCAACATGAAAATCAGAGCCCATTCTGGATGTATGTATCCGTCACAGAGAGGATTTCGTGTTGTGTTCTCATCTTCAGCAGAGCTTACGGTCCTACAACATCATTTTGATGTGGAGAATTCACAGCTTTTCTAGTCACCAAAAAATAAAAGAGCACATACCAAACTCCTTTAACGTAGTCCATGATGCTTCTAGGATAAGAAGGAGCAGGCTTTGGTGGGGCACTATTTACAACCTAAAACAACTGCTACACCCCCTAACTCTTGAATCAGAAACTTCTTGGGCTCAAGGAAAGCAGGAGGAAGAACATGGTGTACAAGTGTGATCTTACCTTGTTGGGTGAGCCATCGTTACAAATCGATGACGTTCTTGCAGATTCGTACGCTCCTATGCACTCAATATCACCACAAGCCGAGTCAAACTTATTCTAAAAAGTATCAGGTAGTAGTAAAGCCAGACAAATAAGAACAGGTTTTGCTTTGGAGAAATGTAGTCTGGAGGGATTATAGAAAACTAACTCTGTGCCTTCGTCTCAATGTTGCCCATTTTTGTAGAATTCCTTTTGAGTAAACGTATAAACTATTCAACAAATCATTGAACTTCTGTGTAACCGTGTGGAGAACACTGTTTATATTACTTTCAGTCAGCAATATTCCCTGTACAAGCACCTAAAATTATCCGAGATGTACTCGGTTTTTTTCACCTGCGGCAAAAAAAAAAAAAAAGGAAAAGCGAGAAAAAAGACAATACCTACCAAATCCTGCTCAAATGCTAAAAATGGAATAAACACGCAGACGCTGACATAAATCTGGGGTGAAAATGTTCGACGCGTTCCAGGAATCGTAAACTGAAATGAAAAACTGAACGATACTGCACAAAGACACAAAATAGCTCTTAATTTCGGACTATTCCTCTCGAAC